AGAAGTGTGGTTATTTTGCCCAACTCACAGCATGGTGAGAAGCATTCTGTTAACTCTGCAGCTATAAGGACAGTGGAAAATAAACTCAGTGGACAATTTTTTTAGTATAAAAACAAGTATTTTGAAATTCTTTCACTTTCCATTTGGCATCTGAATATAGGGGAAAAAGCCACTGCTTTGGCTGCAGTAATTTTTATGTAACATGATGTCTATTCAGGATCCAGAGTAGAAGAAAACATCCTGCAGATCAAGGCTGTTGAGGGTGTTCCCTTTTATTTGGTTTAAAAATGACATCACAGCAGTGGTTGGTTGTTATGAGAATGACTTTTAATTATGACATGCAAGGAAGAAAGTCTCTCAGAAAATAGAGGAAGTGCTGTTCATAGTGAAACATAAGTAATATTTTAAGCTCTTTTTTTGATGTGCCTTCCAAGCTTTTTAGGGAAGGCAGGTACATATGTAAAGTCAAAGAAATACATTGTGATACCCAGTCAGCCCAGTAAAGTGATAATCTTTCAAGCCCTTTTGTACACCGATTGTAAAAAAAGACAAACTGACAGAGGTAGCAATACATTTTACAGATTCAATGACCAAGGCACAGATAAATCTTATAATGAATAACACTTCTTAGTTTATAGAACTCAAAAATGCATTTATGATAGAATCATAGAATGGTTTGGGTTGGAAGGGACCTTAAAATCATCTTTTCCAGCCCCCCTGCATTGGGCAGGGACACTTCCCACTAGATGAGGTTGCTCCAAGTCCCACCCAAACTGGCCTTGGATGGACCATTCACAATTGCTCTGAGCTACCTCTTCCAGTGCCTCACCACTCTCACAGTAAAGAACTGCTTCCTAATATCTAATCTAAACCTGCCCTCTGTCAGTTTAGAGCCATTACCCTTGTGTGACAAGCCCTTGTCAAAATTGATGTTAGTTTCTGCAACAAAGATTGAATTTTGTTGTTGTTGTCATTGAGGTTAGATAACCTATGTTTTGCTCTTCTGCTCAGTCCCTACTCAGGACCCTCTCCCTGAGGAGTCGGAGCCTTGACATGACCACGTCCCAGTCTGCATAGGCACCTTCCAGATGCCGAGTCACTCCTGCACCCGACGGGTAGCTGTGGCGCCCGTGAAGCACACGCCAGTTGTCAAATGTCACTATGTCTCCTAGAAAGAGCAAAGTTCAACAGTTGGAATATTACAGTCAATTCCTCCAAACACGTAGGAAGGTGAATTCACATCAACAGTTACAGAGCAATAATTTCAAGCAGCTCAGGTGGAGATACACAGCAACAACAATCTTAATTTAGTTGGTCATTTTTCAGCCAGAGAGGTCAAGTCACCTTTGGTGTCTCCTCCTTTTTCTTGTATAACCAGGAGTTAAAAAGTGAAGTGGTAGAGGAGTTCATGCTGAGAAAAGCAAGGCTTGAGGAGAAAGGCAACTGCAGCAAATCCACACAGGTGAAATACAACCATATGAACTAAATAAAATGGGTGAAAGCCACTAGGATGCTTTTTATTGATCAGTCTGGTACTGTTTGTACTATACACACTCCATTAAGAGAATTTTATGAGAACAAAGTAAAGCCATTGAAAGTTAGGAAATCACGTAATTATGGCTAAAATGCCAATTTAATTTCTCTCCCTTGGGAGCCACCATTATGCTAAATCTCTAATTAAATAACCTTACAGTCTTTCTTTTCTTCTCCCCATTCCCTCTACCACCATTTCAGTGCACTAATGGATAGGGTGGATGGCACTAATGTAGTGTAAGGTACTTTGTTTTACCATTTATGCTGTGATGTTACACATTTTATTGCATGTTCCCAACAGAGAAAGATTAATTTCTCCATAAGCATTTTAAAGACACTCTCATCGTAGTGCATGAGGCAGTCAGATATACTAATGAATTTACTTTTGTGACATCTCTTGAGAGACAAGGGACTATTCATATCTTTATTTTAAAGCTGTGGAATGACAGAAAAGAGATTAAGGCCACGTATGATATTTCCCATTGGTGGTGCTATTGATTATATAAATTTCCAAATGCTATGGGGTTTGAATGGAGTGTAAAGATGCATTGAACTAATCAATAAATAGATTCTGTTCCCCCCACCACTTTCTTTATAGCATAGCAATGGCCAAAGAAATCTACAAATGAATGTTAAAGATGCACTATGAAAAAAAAATTAGATGACAGAAGGACTGAAACTTCCTCTCAGTACCAGTGCCAACAATGCTCAAGTGTTTTGACTGTTAGGAAAAACATGAAATATTGTTGTGAGGAATAGCAACTTACTGACCTGGTTTCAGCTTGTAAGTAAACTTGTATTCTGCACTGTTTAATAAATCATTAAATTCCTTTAGAGCTGCATAAAAGGGCCTCACTTTTTCAGCTGGTATGTCAAACACTGTGTCTCTTGTTGCGTTATTATAATTGATGCGAACTGCTTGGCCTCTGGAATCCGTGCTATGAGATGGAAGAGGAAAGGAAAGGAAAATTCTGCTGTTACTGAAACATTCTAAGATGGTTAGACAACTGAACTCTCTGGCTGGAATTGTTTCTATACTGTAATTCAGGTTGTTATTGGGTTTGATTTTGATAATTAAGCCCAACTAGGAAAAGGGATACTAAGGAGAAAGTTTAGACAATTTGCTTAGAAAACCATATTCTGTTCTCTTTCAATTGTAGAATTATAATTTTTTTAAATCAGAAAAGATTGAGCATTTGCATTTGATCTTTTTACAGTATATAGTTCTTAATCTAAAGGTTCAAATACTGACCTCTCTTTGGCATGACACAGATGGACACTGGCTGTGATTTAGTAACAGACTTGGCTGCTGCTAACTCATGTCTATGCTTAGGACTTGCTCTAATTAACACCACTACTTGTTAATGTGTGGCAAAAAGAAGTACGTGGTACAATGCATAGAATAAGTCATACATTGTTGAAAGAAACCCGACCAAAAAACCCCAAAACTGCAGCCCAATTTAAAGCAGTGCTCTCCCACAAGGTGGCAGGAGCAGACCTTCTCCTACCAAAACGTAATCCACACATCAGGGATTTTCATTTAAGGTCTTACTGAAAACTACTCACTCTATAATCCTTTGTTTACACTGCACAGCAAAATGACAGTAGTCCACCCCAACATCAGTGTAGTCCACAGCAGTGGAGGACAGGATCTGATGTGCCTCAGGATTTTGTTTCTTCAGCTTGTTGGCTACGTGAAATCCATCTACAACTTCACTTTCACCTCCTGCAGCTGTTTGCTTTATGCAATGGAGAAACTGAACCTGGAACGAATTAACAGCTCATTACAAAAAAATAATAAGCTTGCATATTTAACAGTTCATTAGTATCAGTTCCCTCAACTGAGTTCCCATTTCCTACAGCTTCTCAGCACTCTGCCCCCACTCCCACAAAGAAAAGACATTAGTGTGTTCCTAAGTCCATCCCATTTGGGGTATCTTCCACTGCTTGCAACTTGTGAGTCAGTGGCAAAGCTCTGGTCTTGCTGCTTTCCTTCAAGTCTCTCTTTGTGGCAGTCACATAGTTCTAAATGCATTGCAATCTTATCTCAACAAGGAGGATTAGCTTTCTCCTGCAGAAACAAAACCTGATCTGCTCACAGAAGGGAAAAGGTGGCTGTTAGAGAAGGCAACAGGCCCAGCAGCTCTGTGATAAAGTAGGATTAAGACAGTTTCATTTCTCTTCAGTGTGACATGATGGAGCAGAAAGCCTAAACTGGGCTCTAAGTTGAACTGGTGTAAATCAGAGCTGTTGACACAAGCAGTAAAAACTCTGCGTGGCTTTAGAGAGTCCAACATCACACCAAGTGTAACTGCTCACCCTGCAAACCATACAAAACATACCTGCCATACAAAGGTAACAATGCTCACCTGGCCCTTCCATGATGGTGAATTATTTCTGAGACTACTAAGAGAAAAAGACCAAAACCAACAAGCCAACAAAAGGAGGAGAAAGAGGAGCAGAGAACAGGGTTTGTGGCAGAGATGAAGGGGGAAACTGAAGCTGTGGGAGGGTTTGTGCCAGAGTCTCCTCACCAGGTGGACCTGCAGACCCTGATGATGATGATGAAGGGGGAAACTGAAGCTGTGGGCCAGAGTCTCCTCACCAGGTGGACCTGCAGACCCTGATGATGATGATGAAGGGGGAAACTGAAGCTGTGGGCAGAGCTCCCATTGAGAGGAGCACATGGCAACGAGTTCTTCTTTTCTGTTGTGACCACAGTTGATTTTGTGCAGGGTAAGCACAGCTTGGCCCTGCTAGGGAGGACTGCAGTAAATGGTAATGGTAAATGACTGAAAAAGTTCCGAGGGAGAATTTAGTCCAAATGAGAATTTATATTTAAATCCTCTATCTCTCTAGAGCAAATCTCTCACTAGATCTAAAAATCAATTGGGTTTTGTTTGTTTTATTTTCATCAGGATATCTCATGGAACAATGGTTGTCAGAACAAAACCTATGAAAACTTGAGACAGTTTTTATGGGGCAGTTCTGAAACGAATCACCCATTTAAAAACATGTCTTCAAATATTTGTAATAACTATGTCCTCAGAGTTCAAACATTGTGTAATCACTAAATAAATAAAGAAAACTGCACATTCAGGAGAATGTTCCAAAACAATTCAATGTACTTTAATACTCTTACTTCTTACAAGCACGTTTGAATGAAAAAGGTTATGCTCTTTTGCTAATGTTTCACAGCAGAGCGTGAGCTCTGGCACAGACAGGATCATGAGCTAACTCACATCTGCTCTCTATTAATGAAACCCTTTTCCATTCTTACTCCACATCAATGACCAATATCTACAGGATGAAAAGGCAAACTTCCCAGTGGGTAAATCACATTGGCTTTTTGTTTAAGTACAGAAAAAACAAAGTTGTTTTATAGAACAATATGGAAGTTTTAGAGACACAAACCTTTCCAGGGTTATCTTTGTTGTACCTGTTCCCATTGCCTTCCAGTTTATGTGAGTTACGTGAAATACGCTTTGATAGGACAGGGACTGGGTGAAAACATATTTTCTGTGGTTGTCCAGGTTAAAATGTTATTTTTACATTGCTCTTTTAAAACAAAATTCCCTCACTGAACACTAACCATTAATATGTTATTTTTCCATTGCTCTTTTAAAACAAAATTCCCTCACTGAACACTAACCATAAACATGTATAGGAAGATTCCCCTTCTATGGGGTGAAAAAGTCAGTAGACTCACCCTACCCCAGGTGGATGCTGCAGAACAGGGTAATCAGTGTGGAAACAGAGTCTCCCAGTTGTATAAGCTACGTTGTTAGCATCTGCTTTGTCTTGCACTTGCCAAGTTGGTCTTTGTCATGAAAGGGAAAAGAGAAAAACATGTTAGAAGGGCCAGCCAGCATGCTAGACAGCACACACTGAAACTGTGAAATCACAGTTCAAAAGAGTCATTCCATCTCTGAACACTAAAATATTGTAGCATTCAAGAAAACAAGGAAATAATAGAGGCTTATTTCAGCAGTCCTAGATTCCAGCTAGAAGCTTCAGTGTGCCAAGGGACATCTGTCCACAGTGTGGCTTTCCAGTGACAGCACCCTGCTGAATGCAAAGACCAGTTGAGACACTAACCAAGAAGCATCTGCCAGGAGAAATCATCATCTTGGTACTGTGACTTCAGAAACAAGTGAGTGGCAGTTGGCCCATTTCAATTTATCAACCTTTCATTTTGCTCTGCCACATGGAGCATATTACCAACTAAATATGAAATTTTAAAGGCTATGTAATGTTCCCCAAAAGTTATTTTGGCTTTATAATTATAGCACATATAGATGATCCTTTGCAGGAGGATAGAACCATAGAATTAACCCGGTTGGAAAAGACCTCCAAGATCAAGTCCAACCCTACCATAGTTACCAGACCATGGCACTAAGTGCCACATCTAGTCACAAGATCTAAGATCTTTCCTGTAACTTGAAGACTTGCCACTGAAGGAAAAAGTCTTGATGAAAGACTTTAACTTCTTCCCTGACACTCTGTCTGAGAACTAGCCCCATGTATTTGGTTATGTATTTGCTGCCTTTTAATTTGATAAAATTCAGTAAGAAAGTTTACTGACAACTCCAGTGGAAAAAAATAAGTCGTAGTTATATGACAAAGACATGAATACATCACGTTGCAGCACAAACAAAATGTGTCCCGAGTGACACACCATGAGGGAGAATTCAAGACCAAGAAGCACAGGTTTTGTTTGTACAGAGCTCACATGACTCTAGACAGTGCTCAGCAGATGCAGTTCCAGATCCAGACGTCTGTCTGGAAAAGTGTAAGTCACCATACACAGTCCATGTAATCACAGGCACATAAGTGATTTAAAAGAAATTATGAAACTCATTTTCCCTAGTGAAAAAAAACCCTATAGAGCAAATCTGTATTTCAGATGGTGTGTGTCTAGCTTTACTTCTTAGTAACAGTTTAAATAGGCTAAAGAACACACAGACAAAAGTTATCTATATACAGTAGCCAAACACATTTGCTCTCAGAGTGGTATTTAGTACAGAAACTATGCAAAATGCTAAAATTAAATTTCTGCAATTGCCAGAGGGAAAACTCCCTTGAATATCTCACAATGTGTTTAACTGCCTGGGAGAAATAGCTTTTATGATTTGGTGCAGCACATATTCATCAGTACATGACCTCAGTACTCAAGCATGATAATTTTAACCACACTTCCACAGTTCCCAGTTTTACAGCCAAAAAAATAGCCCCTTTGTCATCCTTGTCATTGGTGCTGAAGGCAGCTAGGTTTGCTCTATCTCGAATTTAATAGGCTACAGTTCTAAAACAATTTAACACATTTTAATTGCCTCATTTATATGCAATATGTAACATTGCTGGAGTGGTAATACTTCATAAAATCATTATAAGGTTTTGCAAAAGCAGTCAGTGCTTTTGTGCTGTCAGGGTTTGCAAGGGGAGTTTGTCCTGGGAGCTTTCCTTGCACATGGAGAGCTTCAGTCAAGGCTCAAGTTACTGACTTGAAGTCAGAGATGCTAATAGGGAGCTCAGTGCTGAATGTGAAAAAAATCAACCTTACTTTGTCAAAAATCTCAGCTGAAGCATCAACTCAGCCATGGGGAGAGCACACAAGAGGTAAGGGAAGATGTGCAGGTAATGTCAGAGGACTCTTGGCACTTAGGGAGAGCAAAGTGTGGTGGAATCATTTATGGTTTAGTAATTAGAGTCAGATATCAAAGCCCATTGCTTAGGCTCTTTGGCAGAGCAGGAAATTTGGCACCAAGCAGGTGTAGCAATTTTTTGCACTAGGTAGCAACATGGGCTCAGTCTCCAGCCTGTTAGTCCTTAGTCCTGCAAAACTGCTGTGCCAGGAACTGAAGCCACAGTTGAATCTTGCACTTCATCTAGAAGTCTACATCTCTTTCATAGGAGATTTGTGATCCATATCCTTCTATTGCCACAGAAATCCTTGGGAGATACAGATGGATTGGCTGTTTTTGTGGGAGTGCTGGGCCCCAAAGGATGCACCTCACACCACACCAAGCGCTGGGAAAGGCTTCAGAACAGGAACACAAGGTCTAGGGCATGAGAAGTTGAACTGTGGTATGACTGGACACCTTGTTAATAGAGTTGGACCTCCCTAATGTGAAGAAAAAGCTTCATTTAAAAGCATGGAAACCTCTGATGTTGTTATATGGCTGATACAGAGAATGTTTCCACCTTTTCCAGCTTAGGGAGCTTGCACCAAGCAGACATCTAGACAAGCAAAATGTGTTGGGTTTTTTTCTCATATGCCAGAATTATATTCATCACAGTTACATTTCAGGCACTTTTCCTTCCGTGATCAGTTAGCATTATTATTGCTCTTCCTTACAAACCTGCCTGTGACAGCAAAGCAATCCTTTCCTACCAAACTCGATGCCAGATTTTCCAATATACAGAGAAAAAAACCAACATTCAACCTTATTTTAATAAATTAACCCAAAAAACAGATTCAGCAAGCTTAAATGAAGAGCATTGGAGGTGATGACAAAGCTGGCAAAGCAAAGAAACAAACTCACCCATAAAAAGTGAGGCGCAGGAACCCAATCCTGTGGCCAAGTTTAACCAACTCTCCCTGCCTTGTGGCAGCTCCTGTTAGCAGAACAATTCCTACTTTCTTCAGGGTGCACAGCCACTTGTAAGCACTTTCATCATTGTACATGATGTCTTCAAAAGGTATTTTGGGGAGTTGCAGGTCTGAGCCCCAGTATTGGCATTCTGAAAGGGAAGAAATAGAGTCACAAGGGCTTAGCTGTTTTAGCATCCAACCTCAGGACATAGTCTAAGTATGAAGTTAAGACTAAGATGGATCAAACCTCCAGCCCAGTGAAAAATGAGTAGTGTAGCCAACTCATATAATGCTCATATCATACCAGTAGAAATCAGATTTACAAAAAACCCTGCTGATAGAGTAATTTGTCCCTGTGGAGAAGCCAGGACAAATCAGGATGCTGAAGGAAGTACTTCTTTGTTAATCATCGGTCTAAAACTTCTTGTTCGGTCTATTTTAAGACTTTCAGAGATATGCCAAAAATCAAATTAATTCCCTTCACTAGAAGGCAGTGCTGTAGCCATTCACTGGTGCAGGCAAACCCACATAACAGCTAAACCCCGTGATTCTTTGTTTTGGCCTCAATATCATAGGCCAAGGTCACTCTGTTAAAGCAATAAAGGGTCTTTCCACACACCCCTCCATCCCACCCCCTTTTTTTCCCACAGACTAACACTGCCAGGACCAATTTTGCTGGACAACACTGAAACATCTATCACCTGTTTTAGAGGCTTCAGTGCATTCAGCCAGGAACTCAAGGGATCCGTAATGTAGAAAGCAAAAAGGCAGGAAATTAATCACAGCTTCCCAGCAGGACACCTTCTGGAGCCTGACAGTGGTTAATGCAGTTAACTTGCATTTAATTTTTCTGTGCTACTGGCAGAGGACACTGGAAGCCACACTTGTGGGTCACATCTGACCCACTCTTTGGGTTTGACACAAGACCTGACATCAGGGTTTCTGAATCAGAAACTATGATGGAAAAAATCATTTTATAAAGCAAAATGAAAAGCAAATAACCACTTGTAAAAGAACAAAAAGGAAAGAAAAGGAATAGCCACAGCTGTGATAGTGTCAGCAGTGCAGGTTAACCTTGAACTGCAGCAGTCTGGTGAGCTTGCTCCTGTATTTGTTGAAGCAGCATGTCGAGCTGGCATTCCATGTCATTGTCTGTAACCCTACACTGCTGGGATATGATTAGCTACTTAAAGGCATGTCATTTGCACTGTGCAACTCCACTGACCACAAAGAGGCAAGTTCTAAATTTACCTCGATACCCAGTGAGAAACAGATCCTAACCAGCCAGCAAGCACTTAGAGGCTGCAGGCTCTTTTTTGCAACCAAAACCTGGGAAAAGCTGGGAGAAGCTGTCCATCATAATGAGCATGGGCTTGTCTGGGAATATAAGGACAGAATGACACCACCAAACAAAGCCAGAGTTACTTAGTGTAACTTTTACAAAAATATTTCTTCATTCTTTCTGAATACAGATGCACAGCTTTCTGCAACGCCAGACCTCAGAGGAACACTGTCAAGAGCAGCAGCAGAAATCTTGCAAGTTTTCACACATTTCATGCTCATAGTCTGAAATGCTGTCAAAAGAAATGATGATGTGCATCATACCAAACCTAGTGGGTGAGTGATTTGTACTGGGTAAATGTTTCACTGACAGTTGCACAAAACACTTCGTGACCAAAAGACAGTCAACTACTGCAATATGCATGGGCTGCAGAGCAAAGACAACTGAACTTCAGCACTACACACTGCAATCCCACAGTTACTTTTTAACAGAAGGCAATGGAAAGGGGAAAAAATATTTCAGTTATAACTCCCTTGCAATTCTAAGCAATCTTTCTTAAAGTAAAAATATAAAGAGTTTGAACAGCACACACACACTTGCACTGTCACACAGACCACTGCTGGGGCACAAAGCTTGTTTGTAAGACCTACTAACCCCTTCTGGAAGAAAAGGCTTTTAGGAAAGTAAATGCAGCCCAATCACAGAAGCACAGAATGGGTCAGGTTGGAATGGACCACAAGTGGTTCATCTGGTCCAACCTCCCTGCTCAAGCAGGGCCACCCTAGAGCACATGGCTCAGGGTTGCACCCAGAGGGTTCTTGAATACCTCCAGTGAGGGAGAACTCATCACCTCTCTGGGCAATCCATTCCAGTGTGCATACAGTCACTCACACAATAAAGAAGTTCTTCCTCACATTCAGGTGGAACTTCCTGTGCATCAGTTTCTGCCTGTTGACTGGTCCTATTGCTAGGTACCACTGAGAAGAGCCTGGCACCCCCTCTTCAGATAATTGTGAAGTTCCCTCTCATTTGTCTCTGCTCAAGGCTGAGCAGGCCCTGTTTCCTCAGCCTTAGCTCATAAGAAAGATGCTCCAGTCCCTTGGTCAACTCCAGTGGACAGGACCTCCATGTCTCTCCTGTACTGAGGAGCTGAACACAGCAGTCCAGACGTGGCCTCACTAGGGCTGAGCTGAGTACAACCAGTTGTACTTCTCTCAAGTACAGAAGCTAAAAGAGGGAGAAGGTAACCACAGGTTCCTGTTGTGCATGCACAGCACTGGTTGCCACTGCTCCAGCTGGGCACATTGTTCTCTCACAGGCACTTCTAGCCAGGACTGTCAGTGTCAGACCCTTTGAAACAAGCATGACAGACATGGATTTCATTCCTACCTGGTAAAAATAGATGTTCTCGCATTTCTGCTCTGGCTTCTTCAGAGAAGCATCGTTTTTTCAACCACTCAGCTTCATACTCACTTGTGTGTTCATCAGGCCATGTAACAGAGATCTTTCAAAACAAAGCAAAAGATATGTTTAGAACAAAAAAAAATATTCAAAAACATCACTTAGACATCACAACCAAAAAAGCCCAACCCTTAGAAATTCCAGAAATTGCAATATTTAGATCAATAATATCACAGTTAAGCTTTCCCTGGAGCATGATAGCAAAGAAGGAATGAAAATCCAACCTGAGTATCATCCAAATTCTGACACCTTTTACAAATGCTCTTTTCCACATGAACTCATGACCTAATTTGCTGTTTTGTGTGGGCTGCTTTCACTGTGGGAGCTGCACTTAATCTTGCAAAACACTAACAGCTTGTGAGAAAAGAAAAAGGACAAGACAGGCAAAAAAGAAAAGCTAGGAGAGCATGGTTATTTTATGGAAACTGAAGCTTAGGTTTCTGCAGCCTCTGCATAACATCTATAAAGTGAAACTTCACATGAAGGTGGGAAGGGCTGAGTTCCCCAAATTGCAACTATTCCTAAAAAGCTTTGCAAATACCTGGTAAGGTTTGCAGATAAACAAACTGTGATTAGAGCACAACCCGAATCTCTTCAAGTTTCAGATTAACAAGCATCCTTAGCCAAGTTTCACAAGAAAGTAAAAACAACGGTTAGCTTCAAGTACCTTTTTCCTATCTGCCAGAAAAACCTCCTTCACCACGATGTCCACGTCCAGGTCCTCAAGGAGCAGCCTTCGTGCCCCAGCAGAGGGGAGGAAGCAGTGGGAGCACTGGCAGTTATCCCTCAGCCACACACAGGGGTAGCAGCTCTCACTTCCATCCTCCCACTGCACACGGACAAAGGAGCCCAAAGCTTCCACCTTCTGGATCCCTGGCCCCATGCCGAGCTGCTGGGCAGTGTGGAGCTGCAGCACAGCACTCTGCTGGCAGTGCTGGCTGCTCCCAGTGAGCAGGCTCCAGCCTGTCCCTGCCTGCCCTCCAGGGACTTTGGTCCTCAGCAGGGACCTACCCACCACCCTCCACAATTCAGCTCTTTAATGAGGCTCTTGGAAGGAGAATGCTGTCATGGAGTTCCTAAAACACCATCAAGAGCAGCTTATTGCTTAAGGAGTCAGTACAGCAGAAGGACAGCACAAAGAGTATTCCTTACTACCTGCTACCCTTCCCTTCCTACTCCCTAGACCTTCAGGAACATGTTGTTTACAGGTGTGCTCAGATCCATCTGTTAAAAAAATCCCTTCAATTTAACCTATAGAATCACAGAATCTTTAGGGGTTGTAAAGGACCTTAGAGATCATCTAGTGCCAACCCCTGCCCTGGGCAGGGACACCTCCCACCAGAGCAGGTTGCCAACCTGGAATGAACTCCGGGGTGGGGCCAGCCACAGCCCACCCATCACCTTGGACATCTTTTGTTTCTGCAGTCAGTTTACTACTCACCACACAAACAGACTGTCTGAAATAGACGAATTCCACAAACCCAAAGTAGGAACTAGACTGTCTGAAAGAGATGAATTCCACAAACCCAAAGTAGGAACTACTCCAGCCTTCCCCTCCCCTTTAATTACCGTCCTGAGACTATGCAGAGAGAGAGAGATCCCACGCAGCAGCTGCAGACAGTGCTCAGTCCCAGGGCACAGCATCCCTTCCCTTCCCCCCACAGCAGCACACCCAGGCACGGTGCTCCCCAGGGAGTTTGTTCCAGGGATCCCGTTCAGGCTGAGTGGGAATTTTCAGGGGTTACTTATCCCCCGAGGAGCACACCAGTGGGGCTCTGTTATCCCTGTTGCCAGCACACCGCAGAGTGTGGCTCAGTTATCCCTGTTATCAGCACTCCAACCTTGTGCTTAACTTAGGGATCGATTTTAAAAGGCATTAGACCTGGGTTTGGGGGGGATGAAGGGGTGGAAAAAGCCCTGATTTCCCGTGCTTGCATCCCCCCTCTGTGTAACAAACCTTTCCCAGCCACTTCAGGCTCCTAGTGGAGGGAAGGAAAGAGAAAAACAACCTTGGGTTTAAAATAGCAGATGTAAGCTACAGTAAACATCACCAAATATGAGAGATGGCTGTTAGGAGCCAGATTGAGTGGGACTGTGCTCAAACAGAGCCTGTGCTGTGGTGTAAATCATCCTTACTCTGTCAGATGGAACCACCCTTGGCTGCACCCTCCCACTTAATAGGGCAGATTTGTGTTAGACCAGCAGGACCAAGGCAGTGATTATCCCCCTGAACTTGGCACACCTCAAACTCAGTGTTCAGTTTTGGGACCCCTACAACAAGAAAGATGTTAGGTGCTGAAGCATGTCCAGAAAAGGACAATGGAGCTGGTGAAGGGTCTGGAGCACAAGTCTGATGAGGAGAGGGTGAGGGAGCTGGGGGTGTTCAGCCTGGGGAAAGGGTGGCTCAGGGGAGACATTATTGCTCTCTAAAACTATCCAAAAGGAGGTTGTAGCCAGGTGGGAATTAGTCTCTTCTCCCATGTAATAAGTAATAGGGCAAGAGAAAATGGCCTCAAGTTGTGCTAGGGGAGGTTTAAATTGGCTGTTAGGGGAAAAAAAAAATCACCAAAAGTGTTGTCAAGCATTGGAACAGGCTGCCCAGGGAAGCAGTGGAATCACCATCCCTGGAGTTATTTAAAAGCCTTGTAGATGTGGCACTTTGGGACGTGGCTTAGTGGTGGACTTGGCAGTGCCCAGTAAACAGTTGGACTCAATGATCTTAGAGGTCTTTTCCAGCCTAAGTGATTCTATGACTCTATGAAATGATTTTACTGCCAAACAAATCTTGTGAGCAGCAGGCTTCAGGCAAATGAGCTTCCTGGGAACAGATTTAAAGGCAGCATTAATATACCCTCACTGTTTAGAGCACAATACCTTCAGGCTGGCAGGTATGTTAATGCTGCTTTTATTTGATCAGTGTGTTTCTCATGGTTGAAGGGAGGGAGGTTCTAACAGAGAGAAATATGACTTGTGTAGTTGAAGGCAATGGCAGAGTGTAGCACCTACCAATTTTTGTCTGGAGCAGCCCAGGTTGGTCTTCCAGTTTCCAGCTTTTACTGTGTGGGAATCCACATCTTCTTCAGTATGCAGAAGGTGGTGGCATGACTGATCTGAAAAAGAAGAGCTGGACTGAAAATGATAAGTAAAACCTTTATTTCCTTCCAGATGGAAAGCTTTTTCCGAGCTGTGCAAGAGGCACTTGCTCCAGAGGACACTCTGTGGTCTGCAAAGCACCTAGAAAAGTCCTGGTGCCTCAGGGTAACCAGTAAAGGGCAAACCTTCAACATAACTGTGCCTCAGCAGCACTTTTCACAGACAGTAAAGCAGTCACAGAGATGAAGGGTTGGCTAGTTGGATGGAAACAAATACATGCAGAAGTGAAAATATTCAGAGACTATTTAGAGACATTTTGGCAGTTAAAAAGGGGCTAAGACTGAGTCTGCAAGGTATAAGAAATGAAATATTTTTGTGGGTAATTATAATTTAACATCTTCAATAAAAAACAATCTTCACAGGCCAAAGCAGTGCTGAAATGTATGGAGCTGGATGCACTCCTTTCCTTTAAGGAAAGAATTATTTGCTTTCAAATTAGGCCCTTAATCCATTTTTCAGCTTGCTTTCAGTTTCTTGCCATGGGTTTTTTCCCCCCTATTTTCTCTTTTCACTTAGTTTTGGTTGTCATGGCTGCCTTCTGGATTTTTAATTAATTTTTTAAATGACTAATATATACCTCCTCCCTCCCCATTTAAATGCATCATTTGAAACCAGGAGCATGGGCATTCTATGTTGTTTTCAAGGTTTGATAGACTGGATGTCTGGCAGATAATCAGGTTCCTTTTGTTTACAAAAGGCTTTATTTATTTATTCCAGAGCCTTAATTAAATATGCAAGATATTATTTATACTTACAAAGCTAATAACATCCCGACCTGTGTGCTGACCCAGCTTTGTTGTACCTCTGTTAGAATCCAGAGTTGAAAAGTGCATTATTTTATAAGCAAACATCAAAAAACTTCAACAGGTTGCAAGATATTCAACATTAAATTAGAAACAAAATCATCTTGAAAAAGTACAAACCTGCTGTAAAGAAAAGTTGACTGCTCTGTATGAACCAAGAAGCTGAAACAACACTCAAAGTGCATGGGAAAGATATGCAGGTAAAAGCATCACAAGTTCTTAGGTAAATTTCAGTTCAAAAGCTGAGGGTCCATGGAATTAATTGTCTCACACCTAGCACTAAACTGAAAGTCATGGTTGTGTTATTTTTGAGAAGAGACAATAAATAGACAGAAAAAACCCCCACCTTGCAAGTTTGGAGTGTCTATAGTAAATCTATATTATGTACACTAAAACTACTCTGTGTTGGCAGCTCCTGTCACTGAAAAATGTTTGCAGAGTGGAAAAAGTGTGGAAAAATGATGCAAGTACATAGCTTTTTTTTGGTCATCCTGCACTTGCCAATATCTATCCCAGGATAATGAATCTTTCCCTGAGCCAACCTTCCCCTCAGCTCAGGAGGGACATTGAGGGGCTGGAGCAGGTCCAGAGCAGAGCAACGAGGCTGGGGAAGGGACTGGAGCACAAGTGCCATGAGGAGAGGCTGAGGGAGCTGGGGGTGTTCAGCCTGGAGAAGAGGAGGCTCAGGGGAGACCTCATCACCCTCTGCAACTCCCTGACAGGAGGTTGGAGTCAGGTGGGGGTTGGTCTCTGCTCCCAGGCAACAGCAGCAGGACAAGAGGGCACAGACTCAAGCTCTGCCAGGGGAGGGTTAGGTTGGAGATTAGGAAGAGATTTTTTCCAGAGAGAGTGCTCAGGCATTGGAATGTGCTGCCCAGGGAGGTGGTGGATTCACCATCCCTGGAGGGTTTCAAGCTGAGACTGGATGTGGCACTTAGTGCCATGGGCTAGTGACCACGGTAGGGTTGGACTTGATGATCTTGGAGGTCTTTTCCAACCTGCTTGATTCTGTGATTCTCCAATGACTTTTTTTTTTTTCCCTGAAGAAAGTTCAGACACAAACAATGACTACTACAGACTGTTTCTAAGCACTTAAAATAGATATACATGTAGCCCAAGGAAGGTTGTCTTCTGAGAAAATATACACTTGGCATTGTCTTTTCTTATGGAAGAATGTTAATGGCATATTGGAGGTTGCCAGTGATACCTCCCCAAGGTAAGGCAGTTTGCAATGACTTTACAAAGCCATGACTGACTCTGTCCAAACCACATCATTAAAAATGTAATGATTATGGAGACCATATGTTTTTCTTGTTAGAGAATTAGTCATTAAATTCTGCCTTTTCCAGTTATAAACTGATATTGTAGGCAGGATGACAATTTTATGAAGAAAATAAGAGAAG